GGTTGGTGCAGGATAGAGCAGGGTTTAGAGCTGTTGTGCATAGGGTCGCTATGAGTCGGAAACGACTCAATGGCACATAACAACAACAACAACCAAATGAATTGGCATGGTGACTATAAAAGTGGGCTTAAGTACAGTGGGGGATTGTGAGGCTGGCATAAGATTGGGTGAAGTTTAGATTTGTTTGTATAAAGAGTTGTAGTTGATTGAATAGCACCTAATGACAACAAATCTGTGCCATGGGCATAATCTAATTTTGTAATGGGATATCTTTGTTAATGAAACAGAATAAATGAGTATGTTTTGAATGGAATACTAGAAGGATGTCTTACTGTATTTTATTGACTGTGCAAAGGCATTTCACTGTGGTGATCATAACAAATTGTGACAAATGCTGAGAAGAATGGAAATCCCGGAACACTTAATTGTGCTCTGGCAAAAACTTACATAGACCAAGAAGCTGTTGTTTGAACAGAACAAGGGAACACTGCATGGTTTAAGATCAAGAAAGGGTGCAGCAGGGCTCTTTCCTTTGTCCATACCTGTTCAGTTTGTGTGCTGAGCAAATAATTCAGGAAGCTTACTTGAAGGGACAGGGTAAATAATAAACAGAGATCAATAATGATTATACGAAAAGCAGTGTATATGAATGATTGTATAATAACAATGTAAATGAAAGATTACATGAATTGAAAAGAAACATAAGGAGTTAGTCCTTAGCAAGATGCCATGCTGGGAAAGTTAGAGAGGGTCAGAAAAAAAGAAAACCTTAAGGAAATGGATGGATATAGTTATTCCGATAGTGGCCTTGCCCATGATAGAGTTCTTGAAGATGGCACCTGAGAGGGCAAGATCTGTTGGTTATAGAGTTGCTGTGAGTTTTATTCAACTTAATGGCACCTAACAGTGATATATATAAAGAAAATTTTAATGCTGTTTGTAAAACATTTGAATTATTAATGTCTTCAGGAAAAAACCCCCTATTAAAATACATATGAGAATTCAACATTTACAATTAATTTTAACAATATTATCTTTCCCCCCCAGACCAGGGAGGTTTATTTTTTGTGGGTTTTTTAAATTATTATTTTAATGAAAGTTTATAGAGACTTTGGATTTACATTCATTCATTGTTGCACATTGGAAGGTTTGCTTTTAACTAGTATGTTGTAACTATTCTGTGTTTTCAATTAGAAGAGATTTTGGTTAAGTAAAATATTTGTCTTTTAAATAAATGACCTTTTCCTCCCCTAGTTGGATATTATATTTAAGTGCTAAAGCTTTTTACCACAAAGAGGGGTGAACATGCAGGCTTTGAACTTTCTCATGCATTAATTTTTAGTCTAGAGAAACTTTGCCTGTTCTGTGACTGGGTTAGTATTTAGTTGTATTTTTAGTAACAGTCCTAACTCAATAGCTATGTAAGTGCTGAGATGGAGTCACAGTGTAACTGGGCTGGCTTCCCAAATGAGGGCTGGGAGTGGAGCAGGAAGGAAGGCTTGCTTGTCAGTGCCTTGCATGCAACTAAGTTTGAGTAGATTGCTGAGCTATACAATTCCTCCCTTGTACAAAGTAACTCTTTCAGTGAAAGCTCAGATATGTGAGGAAAAAGCTTTTTGGTGAGTGAAGGAGAACCCTGGCATGTTTCAAAGAGATTCTTTCTGCTTATTTTTGGTATTTGTCTTGTAGGGAGTACACTTGTGGTAAAGTACTGGCTTTGTTTTCAGTAGCATTTGTAAACAAACTCTTGAGCATCCATATTCGAAGAGCCTTCTGTGAGCGTCATTTAAAAATACAATTTGTTTCTGATGAAATGTTAATCTCTGCAGCTTGAAACAGTGAAAACTAACTACAAGTGTTTGGTTTCAGAATGAATTACTAACTAGACTGATAATCCAGGTGGTGATACTGATAGAAACCATTTAAAAACGATTGCTGCTGTTTAGAGTGTGTAATGTTGACTTTAGGGAAGATTTGCTTGTTTAAAATCAGTGTATTAGTTACTTGTTTACTTATGTGACTATGATTTTAAAATGCATTTTACTTTCTCCACTTCTAGTGATATTCTATAAAGTTTGTCACTAAAAAAAGTTGTCTTTTCCCTGAAGAGTTTGAATATATGATTAAATAATGTTTATTGTTATTATTTTTAGAATACAACTTTTATATTATTGACAGCACCTCACTGGTAAGCTTCAGATAGTTGACTTCCCTAGAATTGTGCCCAAGTTCGTAATTTTTCTCTTTTGAATCTGTCTAGTGGAGTGTGACAGCATGAACCGCTTTGACCGGACAGACAGGCATGTTCGGCAGTCTCAGGAAGGATTTTGGAAAAGGCCACCCCAGAGGTGGGGTGGACTGGAGCACTACCACCTCAGCCATGCTGACCGTTATCACCACCAGGGAAAAAGTGACGTGAGCCGGTGAGTACCAGTCTATCTTATATTTGCGTTTTATAAACTCTGATTAATTTTGCACTATAATTTTCCTACTAAAATTTTGTATCCAGATAAAGACACAGAAAACATTACAAAGAGGGGTCTGTAGGGGGTGTGTGTGTGTGTATATCTCGTCCTCACTGATGTAAACCCCCCCCCCCCCATTTTGGCCTAAATCCTTTTTCATTAGCTTTATTTTAGATGTATTTTATTTTTATCAAATATTTAAACTTTGAATTGTTTTAGGATTAGAGAATGATTAAATGTTTCCTCTGCCAAAAGTTTATTATTTTCCAAGTAACAATATATAATATTAGAATCAAATAATTTATTTTTTTTTCTAACGTGATAAATTCATCTTTTCCAATGGAAAGTACTACTAACAATGTGAGAATGTACATGTAGTGGTAGAAAGATTACTTTTTATCAAATGTAGGGTGTCTTTATTTTGATCCAACCCCTATACACTGGGAGCTGTGGTGAAGTAGTCCTTATGTGCTGCTATCCTAAAGGCAGCACCTCTGTTTGAATCTACCGGTGGCTCTCTGGGAGAAAGATTGGCAGTCTACTCCCATACAATTTTTATAACCTCTGAAAACCTGGTTCCAATTCAGTGATATTAATTATGCTGCTTTTGTTTTTTAATTTATATGCAAAGGGACTTTATAGTCACACAAAAATGGGGTTTAAAGTTGGCATGGTACAAGCTTAAATAACTAATTTAGCCCCTTGTAGCTTCTGTTTGCTATTTGTACCCTGCCTTTTTCTTGATCTTCCAGGATCAGGGGTAAAGAGTCTGGTTTACATGGCCATCCAATGGTAGTTATTGTTACTTTCAGTTATTTCACAAGAAGTTTGAAGTAATTTTGAAGTCATTCTAAAATACAGTTAAGAAGACTGAGTTGTTGTTGTTGTTTGATGCAGTCGAGTCATAGACGATTCATAGCAACCCTATGAATGAACAGCCTGAGCACTGTTTGTACATAGAGTTTCCGGAAGCAAGCCATTTCGGAAGTGGATGCCGCTCCTGCTTCCAGGCTTGATCTAATCGGGAAGCTCCAGCCAACACTGTCCACCATGGGTACCCATTACCACAATCGGCACATCACTGTCACAGTCTTCTGCATCACAGTAACCACAAGTTACTTCTGTACAGCAATGCACAGACCAGTGCTATACCACCTAGAAAAATGTTTGACAGGAAAACAATTTGAACCTGGCCGAGGGCTGCAGGCCCGAGGGCCCTTTTGGCTTAAGGCTGCCTCCTGGTTCAAACCCTAGGCCCAGGCTGGCTAGCCTCACTCCTGGGGACAGAGCAAACCTGCACGACAGACACATGCCTGGAAAAGCAGTCGATTCCAAAAGCTTGCCACGATTCCTGTGCTCACACCACCAATGCTCCTTCCTTCTGCCCAGACCCTGGGAGGAGCCAACCAGGAACAACATGGCTGCTTCCTCTCCTCTCCCAGCTGCCTTTGGGCTTAAGGCCGCCTCCTGGTTCAAACCCTAGGCCCAGGCTGGCTAGCCTCACTCCCAGGGACAGAGCAAACCTGCATGTCAAACACATGCCCAGAAAAGCAGTCGACTCCAAAAGTTTGCCGCGATTCCTGCACTCACACCACCAATGCTCCTTCCTTCTGGCAAGGAGAGCTCCCACAGACCCTGGGAGGAGCCAACCAGGAACAACATGGCTGCTTCAAGAAGATTGAGACACAGAGGGAATCATAGATATTAGTAATCAGAGATGAGCTGACATGGGAGAATCTTAAAATAGTGTAACGCCTGTGAGGGCCAGACCTTCACAGGGCCAGTCCATTTTCCTAGGCCTCACAGTTGGAATGGTGCAGTCTTAACACCTTCCTATCACTTACTTTAGTGCAAAATATTTCAACTTTCCTTCTCTGAGATTTCTGTTTAATGCAGATTGTGATGGTTAATTATGATGCAGACTTTCTGTTTTCTGGAATGCTCAGAGTTTATAGGAAAGACAGGTACATAGACAGTTAGGAAGTAGGATTTGAATAGCGGTGATGGGTACTTTAATACAGTGGTCTGGAGAGGATTCTAAAAGAACAGGTTTTTGTCCAAAGATGGTATAGTAGGAAAAAAAATTACTATTTAACTAATAGCAAAACCTATGACATAAGGTGATAATTCCACATAGAAAAAATAGCATGTACAAAAGCATGTAAAGTGTATGATAAGTTCAGAGGCATAGTTCTAGTGGCATAGTTCATAGCTTGTTGCATTACTCATCCAAAGGACCTGTATCTTTTGTGGTTTGAATTCACCTGCAGCTCTGTAGGAGAAAGATGGGCAATCAGAAACTTGATGGTAGTTAGCGGTGAGTTAGCACTGACTTGACAGCAGTGAGACAGCTTTCCTATTACAGTTAATAGAGAGAAATACACAATAAATACTCTTCTTCTTGTTGTTATGTGCCCTCAAGCCAAGTACAACTCATAGCTCCAGTTACTATGTCAGTCCATCTCCTCTGGAGTTCTCCTCTCCTGTGCCTCCACCCTTCCAAGCATGAGGGCTTAATTTTTTTCCTTTTAATTTTGTTGACTATTAGATCAGTGCTATATATTAGTGGCGATGGTATATATTAATTTTTTAAGACGTCTGTAGCCACAGAACTTATTTTGACCTTTGTTTTTTCTGATACTGCACTGTGACCACATGGCTCCTCAGTCACTAACATGCCATTGGTCTTAAAGTGTATTTTCAACCCCAAACCATGGCCTTTTATTACTTTCATCATTTTACGTCTCTAGGCTAAAAATCCACAATTGTTAGAGGACATACTCAGGTACAAATTTATGCCTGCTAACTTACTGCAGGCTGTTATATTCTCTTTGTCACTTGTTGATAGTGATTTTATTATTAGGCCATACAACTCTGCTCTTAATTAATGTGATATTGTTACCGCCAAACAACTAAAATTAAAGTCTCCATCAGCAATAGCACTGCTTTGTTTTCTCCCTTCTGCCCCTGGTAATTAAAAAAAAAAAAAAATTGTTACTCTGTATTTATCTTTTCTTATCTTTTAATTTAAATAATTTCATATTTACCCCTATGTGATTGATTCATTTCACCCAACATAATGTCTTTATTCTCCATGCATTTTATAGCATGTATCAGTAACAGCACTCTATTTCTTACTGGCTGAATGAGTGGCATCCATTATGTGTATATACTGCATTGTTATGTGTATGTACTGCATTTTGTTTATCTACTGATGGACATTTAGGTAGTTTTCCACATTTGGGCTATTGTGAGTACAGACTGCAGTGAACATTGTTGTACAAGTATCTGTGTGAGTCTCTGCTTTCCAGTATTTTAGGTTTATACCTAAGAATAATATGATAATACCGTTTTCTGGGTTGTTTTTTTTTGAGGTACCTCTACATACTTTTCCACAATGGCTGTATGATTTTGCGTTCTCACAAGCAATAGAGGTCTGGTTTCCACATATCCTCATTATAATTTTTATTTTTGTTTGTTTGTTCCTTTGCTTCTGGTAATCTTAGCTTATCCTTACTCACTTCTGTAAAGTCAGACTCGACTCATAGCTGAGCCTCCATTCAGTTTCTGATGCTATAAATTGCCTGGGAAGTGATTGACTGTCTTTCTCCTGCAGAGCTCCTGGTGGATTCAAACCACCAAAGAGGCATTGCCTTTGAGTGCAACTTCCTAATAAAAATGTCACCAGAATTCTCTGTTTCAAGCAAACTCAAACCAAGTCCTATCAAGTTGGTCCTCATAGCTAACCTTCCATTGTATTACCTATGCTGTAAATTAATTTTCCCATCTTTGTCCTAAGGAATGGGTAATGGATTTGAACCACCAGAGAGGTGTGGCCTTTGAGTTAACAGTGAATCTTTTTATGAGCCAGGCTACCAGAATTCCCCTTGTTGTTACTGTGTGCTGTTGAATTGGAACTGATTAATAATGGACCCTGCGTTGGGTTTTCAGATGCTATAAATTACATGAAAGGAGATTGCCTGTTTTTTTTTCCGCTTGGAACAGACAGTGGATTTGAATTGCCTACTGTTAAGCTGGCAATACAGCTCTTTACCTCCTAGGCCACCAGAGCTCTCTTAACTCCCTTTGCTATTGGTTATACTGTAGAATTAGAACTAACTCAAAACTGATCCACCAGTGGGTTTTTAGAGACAACAGAACACCCAGGGGAAGAGTGCCCATCTTTCTTCCAATAAGAGAAGCTGGTGCATATGAACTATGTGCCTTTGGGTGGAGTGCACCTCCTACCACTAAGCCACCAGAGCTCTCGCAAGCTCATCTTATTAAGAGTTAAATAGTATGTCACTGTGGTTTTGATTTCCATCTCTTATACCTGGCCAACTGACTGGAAGAGATCCATATTTATTCTCATTCCAAAAGAAGGTGACCCAACAGAATGTGGAAATTATCAAATGATATCATTAATATCATACTCAAGCAAGATATTGCTGAAGTTTATCCAGAAACGACTGAAACAGTACATCAGCAGAGAACTGCCAGATGTGTAGGCTGGATTTAGAAGAAGCCATGGTACTAGGGACATGATAGCCAACATTAGAAAAATCTTTGCTGAAAGCAGAGAGTACCAGAGGAATGTCTGTCTGTGTTTGACTCTTCAAAGGCATATGACTTTGTGGATCATAATAAATTGTGGCTAACTTTGAGAAAAATGGGGATCCCAGAACAGTTAATTGTGCTCATGCAAAACCTATATTTGGACCAGGAAGCAGTTGTTAGAACAGAGCAGGGAAATACTGCAGCATTCAGGATCACGAAAGTTGTGTGTCAGGGATGCAGCATATCTCCAAACCTTTTCAATCTGTATGCAGAACATATCATCCGGGAGGCTGGACTTTATTAGGAGGAATGTGGCATCAGAATTGGAGGAAGATTCATCAGCAACCCATGTTATTCAGATGACACAACCTTGCTTGCTGAAACTGAAGGGGACATGAGGT